CCTCGTAAATCTCCATTTGCAAACTATACGTGTAAAACAAGGGTTGACACTGCCCCCGTCCCCCTCCCCCCCTGACCCCCTCTGAATTCTATTTTCATCGATGATCGATGAACACCTTAAAGCAAAACAACAACCTCCGAACGCAGAGAGTCACCTTTCTCGCAGGACATCGATACGTGTTGCAGGACGGGTCGCAGTATCTTGATTCCCTCGTGCAGGACATCCGATAGTCCTTGGACGTGTCCTCGTTGATCTTCCTCTCCTTCTCGTAGACGTCCGTCATACCTCTGTTCTCCATGATCAGCTTCAAACGATTCTTCTCCGTTTTCACTGTCTTCGGGTTCGCCGTGGCGACTTGCATCGCTCGCGGAAGAGGAATCATAGACGCGCCGCGAGTCCTCGGGTCAAAATCCTTCGAGGCGTTCTGCTGCCCTTCGGCCGTCCTCGAATGCTGCTCTCTGTTCTCGCCAGGCATAATTTTTGTCGACGGGCGTGCGCGAATGTCAACAAAACACGACGTCCGACGGTACGACGATACGAGTATGGTCTTTTAACACGAGGCTGTCGGAGTCACGTCGATACGACGGCTCCACGCGTCGCGACGACCGGTGTCCTGGCGTGCCTGACGTTGGCGCACACCGTCAGAAACTCTTCTCCGGGTCTCGACCCTTCTTCATCCACCGCGGGACAGCTTCATCGCGCTCCATCGGGCGTCGAGTGCCGCGGCGCGCATGCGTCAAACCAAAGATTTTCAAAATGTCCCTCTGGCATTTCAGCTCCCTATCTGCCCGCGCGGCGTGTACCTCTTCACGATTTTCTCGTCCCACTTGAATCTGTTGTCAATTTCGAATGAGCCGACCGAAACAATTCGTAGAACGTGTGTGCAGAGGAATCGTTTCTCGAATGTGAGCTCCTTGAAACACGTTCAAACAATAAACGCTTTCGTACGATCTGCGAAATTGTTTAACCGTTGCGGTTAGTAGCCGCTACGAACCGTACAACCTTGAAATTAGGTTTACATCATAAAACGCAACGTCTTCTGTTTCGTCACACTTGCGAGTTTTCAAACTCTGGATCGAATATCTACCCGAAATATCGTGTCAGAAATTTTTGGATTTCTAGGTTATCGAGAATACGCACGTGTACTTAAGAAGAATTCTAGCTTCAGATTCATCGATTTCTTTCGACTTTCTCGTCTTCGTTTTTAATTTTCCTTGTCACATGCTTCAGCGACGCAGGTTCCATTTATAGTTGTACGCCCGTTACTTGTTTGCAGCCCACGTTTTCCCATTCGTTTCGTAAATCGACCGGACGCACCTTTTGCGGTGACAGATAAAGAAGGGAAATCTATTTTCTTTATTAGTCTGACGTCACTGTCTTGCTACTCTAATTTCCCTTCTAACGATGCCTTCCGATTTTCCATTCGAGGGTACCTTCGATATTTGAATTTTTTCACTCGGGGAATCTTGATTCAGCAATAACCGTCCCGGATAATATTCAAATTTATTCGCATCCTTCGTACCTTCCTTCCTCGACACTTTGATATTGCTGTAAAAAATTCTCGATGACTCTTTGCTTTGACATTTCTCGAACTACACTTCGATTCACGCAGATTTCTAAATTCGTGCGAACCTTCGATTCTCGATCATTAAAATATCGTTTCCCTTTCAACCTCGATTACAAAGATCGACTGTCGCGCCGTAAAAACGCGTCGCGTCGAGAGCCTGCGCTCGGAAACGCTTCATGGAATAATCCGTATCGTAATGTCACGTTCGATTCGTTATTTTCTCGGTTGAACGAAGCCGGGAGGACCCGCGGGGGCAAAGGGTCCTCGGTTCAAGGGCTAGGAGAAAGAAGGACGATAACGAGATCGGCTGCACGCCGAAAGCTACGCACAGTTTCCCCGCGGTGTGGAAACCTCGCGTCGATAGGTCGACGGGGGCGATACGTTTCGATGCATGATCGAGTCGTCGTCACTGTTGCTTCGAGACGCATGGAAAGGCCACAAGACGCGAACACGCCACTCACAATCGACTCATTGTTCCACGCAGACCGAAACGTTTCTTGCGGTCACTTTGTTTTTGTTGTTCCCCTTCGTTCGCTCGCGCAAGGATCGACGCGAACGACAAAACACAAAAAAAAAAAGAAAAGAAGAGACGATAGGAGAACGATAGTACTGGAAGGTCGTCAGATAACGAAGCTTCGAGGGACCACGAAGCCGTTTGGGATCGCGTGGTGTTGGTAGCTGAAATAAACTGGCGTAGGTTAGGGGATCGAAGAACAGCTGGGCTCGGCCTGGCTGCTGTACGCCATCACTGACTCACTCGATTCCCTCCCTCTCTTTCTAGCCTGCTCCTTTGTGCGATTCCTCTCCTTCTCTTTCCACTCTCCTTTTATCCTACTTCTCTCTATTCTCCCTCCCTCGCTTGTACCTACTCGCTCGAGCTATCGTATGCACTGTTCCTCGTGCTTTTGGATAAATTGTTTTCTTCTAGAGCGAAGTAAACAGCATGAGTCAGTATCGATTACCGTTTTAAGTAACCCGTTTATAGATTTCAGGACAAATCGAAATAATTGCGTATCGGTATCTGCCAGCCTCGACATTTTGAAATATTTTGAGGTATCTAAAAAACTGTTCGTACAACGATTTGCAACAACTCTGTTACGAGCTGTAGCTCCACCTTGATCTTCCATACGAAATTACTATTGTCCTCGTCTCGCTCTTCTTCCTGTTTCATCATATTAAACTGTTCCCTCTTGCTCGCATGAAATTCCCCCCTATCTGTATCTGTACCAGTCAAAGTAATTAGAGATTCCCCGGCTAAAATTACTTTATTGCTTAGTAAGCTATCCAATTCGTTAAAAGCTTCGATATACTTTATAAAATAAACATTCGGTGCAAATACTGTTACATCAAGTAAACAATATTCCTCCACTATAATATAACATTTGATTAATTTTCCTTGGGTATTTTTGTCTCGTTCCCCGCCGTATAAATTATTCTTTTCCGTCTCTTTCGCTCGTTCTCCCATTGCAAAATTATTCAACCTCTCGTTGAATATTTCCTGCGAAATTGTCCTTTCTTTTCCATGCAAAATGTGCTTTGTTTTAAATAAAATTTGTCTCTTTTCATAGAAAATGCATGACGCGGAAGTTCTCGCTCTCTTTGTTTTTCAAAACTGATTTACTTCTTTTTCGAATTTATAATAATCTAACCTCGCGATTAAAAAACTACAAATTATAAATGAAAGGTGTAATCGATTTATAGAATAGTATAGTAATACACTTTTTTTACATTTACTCTACGATTGTTGCCGTCTTATCTCTTGTATCTAATCAGATTTTCGTGTTTTTTCCCCCCGTTAAAGATTAGTGCTTGGATGTTTCTTGATTAAACAATGGATTGCTCCTCTGTGTATATGTATAATAGAAACTACAAACTAGTTGCATTCAAGATGCTTTTTTAGTATTATCTCTTATCTAGTGGCTCGTAATATATGTGTAGTCTTCCTCTTAAGATAAAACCAGATTTGCCCTTATCAGTGGTTTTGCAACTCTCGAGTGGTATATGTCGTCTGCATTTTACAGACAAAATGGCAAGTTCGAACAATGCAAGTAATAATACAAAGTAAAAGAAATATCAAAATTTTGAAGAATAAAAAAAGAAAACTGCAATTTAAATAATTCTTGCCTCCGATTAAAATGGTATCGATGTTGGAAAGTAATGCGTTCGGTTCTGTTAATTTTTATTTGCCGTTGCATTTTGTGGTTGCACGCGCAGGATGGAAAAAATCAAACCTCGATGCCCCATGGCGTGATACACTTGAGCCATTTCGGAGGGAAGAAGAAGCTCTGATCAATAACATCGCCCCAAAGAGAGGCAACCCCTCTGCAATAACTCCCCTATGGTTGTGGCGCATGCTCACGAATTAAATGCCATCCCTTCTTGCAATTTCACCGTGTTCTCGCCCCCTTCTGCACCGTTAGGGGCGAACGAAAAAAAAAAATAAATACACGGAAGCGCATACGCAAAGGGATGCCGCGTATAAATACGCGGCGTTCATTGATGCTGGGGCGAGCTGCGGTGACCTTGATCGTGAAAATATTACGCCAAAGGGACTAACTATCGCGGCTAAATTTTTGTTATCAATTCTTTTCGACGTTCAGAAAAACTATGGAGCTTGGAAAAGACCTTTCAACATCTATACGGACACGTTTCTTTGTACTTTTGATGGATGATACGAAGCAATTCGCGATGGAGCACAAAAGACTGGCTCTCTGTGATAAAACAAGCGGAACACGAGGGATGAAAATTTTTTGCTTGACCTTTCGTTTTCATGGAAAACGATTTAATAACAAATTTAGATTTTAAATTATTTGAATCCAAGTGATTTAACAATTTAAATATTTTTAATTTGCTTTAATTTGCACGAAGGATAATCCAACCGTTTTATCCTTTGATCCGTTTGTGCATTTTGAGAGCAACCTTTGATGACACTCAAGCATCACTCGCAGCGAAATCAATCCGCGAATATTTTAATTAACACACCTGAACTCGTTTTTTGTCGTCGCGAAATATGAATTTTCAACGATGGTTGGTCGCATATTCCAGTGGGACAGTTTAGCACGGATGCTGCGTATTACCTTGTTCGCCACTTCAGCGTATCATCGTCATTAATGCACCGCACGGCATGTGCATCACTTATAGCATAAGTGCATTAATGCACAATGCACGAGGAGCTTTCAGTAAAATTTAGGAAATAACGAACGAAAAAAAGGGACATGAAAGTGCTCGCCGCGAGTACCAATTTTCAAACTAAATATCGCCTTGCAATTTTTTTTTTTTACTGCGACGGAAATTAAAATTTTTTTCACCGGTAATAATTTTTTCTCAAACCGTTTCATTTTTCGTGACTTTCGCTGTACACGTAATTTATGTTTGCCCCGCGAACCACTTTCCATGCAGATTTACTCTGACAGAAAGAACGTATTAAACTCACCTGCTGAATTATTGCACGATGATTCCGACTCCTCCAAGACAACAGACGACTGGTCAGCTCTCCGGCATGCACGCCTTCGCTGGTGTCCAAGTTTTGACACAATCGCGGACGAAAACGGTAATTACTATAAAATAAATAAAGAAATCTAATTATACAATTCAAACGAGCTTCAATATAAAGACAAATCTCGATTAAAAACCGTTTACTAATGATGATAAAATATATAAACGAGCATATATTTATTTATTCGTATAATATTTATCCTACGATGTGCTTGTTTGGGGTACACAATGTGTATAATATTTGTTTCGACCGCGGCAAGCAACGCGTACAGTTATACGAAAATAATTATTTAAATAAAAATTTATGCGAACGTTCGCTATAAATGTTTGGTGGTCGTGATATTCGGTAGAGTGGAACGACATGCTAGGGATAATTGCACGCATTAAAAGACACTCTTCTGCCGTGGTGAATGGAACTTTGAAGTAAACGCGGAAGCATCTTCAAAGGCACCGTTTAATGCTGTACTCACTTGCATTCAGCCAGGGGAGTTTGTACCGCTTCGTTTTTCTTGCTTTTCTCGCACTGCCGTATCACGTTATCTGTCAGGTGTTTTCCTGAAACACACCGTTTTGTGGAACGTTAGGCCTCCAGTCTTAAAATCGGGACGCATTTAAATAATTATACCAGACGTTCCAAAAGTGTAGGCACAAGCTTCACTTGTACAGCAAAACTCGTACAAAACAGATAAAACTCCTAACAAACATGGATAACCAAACCATAAAAGGTGACAATTTTATTTTAAAAATAATGGTTAAAATTTTATTTGAATAAAATAATAGAAATTTTGTAAACCATAATTTAATAATAAAAATATTGATATTCTGTACAATTTATTTCCAAAACTTTGGAGCTTGTTACACCGCTCTTTTTTTCTACACGTCCAATAATTTTTTCTTCCTTCATTATTCGATGCAGTCAACGCAGAACGGTTGCACGTTTCTCAAAGTTTCGAGTGCACTCGTTCCGCCATTGAAGTTAGCTCCTTTTTACCTAGCAGCGCGCCACGCACAAAAATAACCAAATTCCTTCCGGGGAGAGGGGGGAGGAACGTAAACCGTCAGAAGACGATGAACAGAAAAGTGCAGTGGGTCGTGACGCAAATGGTAAGAACCGGAAAACAGGGCCCATCACCCCCACACGTGTTCACTAGGGTGGACCTTATTTTTTGACCAACAAAATTCGATAAAAAAATATTATTTTTGCTTTAGAAATGGTACGTTTGAATTAAATTTAATTGACGGAAAAAGTGGAAAACTTTCAACGATCTTTCGTGAAATTCCATTTCTGAATGTTTCGTAACGATTTCCTATCGTTCTGCAGTAACATCACAACCCAATCTCCTAACGTGTATCGCATTCAGGGTAATCGTATGTTAAGTGTTTGTTTTATAGAGTGATGATTGATTTCCTGTTTTAATATTCATTCGTCGTAGCCTTTTCTAGACAGAAACCGTAGTGCATTGTATGTTAAACTCGTTAGGATCCTCGCACACGGCGTCAGTGACGAAAGCGCATAAATATGCAGTGCATTCACACGTTCGTGTAATTGAATGCAGTTACAGACGACAACAATACCGGCGTTCTTTAAATAGAACAATTCCCGATGGATGAATTTGCCAATGATACTGTGATTGTTTCACAAACTTTGCTGGCGATAGCAAACTGATAAAAAAATATTATCAACAGTCTTTGTTATACGCTTCTAAATGCACGCGCAAATATTGTATTTATATTAATTTCTGCCAACAAAATTATTTGATACAAGTGGATCAGTTAGAAAGAATATAATCCATAATAATAATAAATATAAATTAAATTGTTAAAAATAAAATATGTTTTTATATTAGAAAATAACAGTTATTGTTCTGCCACCCACATAGAGTTTGAATAATTATGAACAGTACTCTACTATACCTCGCTGTTATTAATTATAATCGACCATAAACGCTCACTTAAATAATCCACGAGAAACGATAGGCTCATATTCAGGCGTGCGTGCAGCACGCTTAATGAAAATTCCTGCGGATCTTTCCTCTTTTCACATCTCTCGTGTTTCCTTGGAAAAACACGATAACCTCTTCAACAAGCTTTCCAGACAAACAACGAACTGCACCGGCTGTTCATCGTTAACGTCGAGAGGCTTGATATTTACGGCAACACAAATTACAGAATCGATGCTGAATTTATTGACCGACCGAATATAACCCCAAAAAAATAATTCGCGACCGCCCGACCAACGCACGAGCCGAAATTCTTTCTGATATTCAAACTTTGACGGCCACATCATCTCGCAACTGTTTCGCGGCTACGAATACGTAAGCCAATTATGCAACGGTCCGAATCTCGTTATGTAAAACTAGAGAAGTATAGTGTTTTGTGTTGGGACCAATCCGGGCGTACAATCGTGCGTGAAACACATTATATTCTCGGTAAAGAATTTTTTTCTCGAAAATCTGTAGGATTTCGTGGGTATGTCTATTCATAAAAAATGATTGTAATTGACTCCTGCAATTAAAAATAATTTTTTCAAAACGATTTGAAACTTGTTAATTTTGTCGAAAATTTCACACCTTCTCGAATTTTTTTCTAGAAAGTGGGTAGGAATTCGAGGGTATGTCTATTCACCAAACATGATTGTAATTAACCCCTACAACTAAACATAATTTTTTTAGAACGATTTGAAATTTTTTAATTTTGTCGAAAATTTCACACCTTCTCGAATTTTTTTCTAGAAAGTGGGTAGGATTTCGAGGGTATGTCTATTCACAAAAAATGATTGTAATTAACCCCTGCAACTAAAAATAATTTTTCCAAAACGATTTGAAATTTTTTTTTCCGTCGAAAAATTTCACACCTTCTCGATTTTTTTTCTCGAAACTGGTTAGGATTTTGAGGGTATGTCTATTCACCGAAAATGATTGTAACTGACCCTCGGAATTGAAAATAATTTTTTTAGAACGATTTGAAATTTTTTAATTTTGTCGAAAATTTCACACCTTCTCGAATTTTTTTCTCGAAATTGGTTAGGATTTCGAGGATATGTATATCCACCGAAAATGATTGTAACTGACCCCTGGAATCGAGAATAATTTTTTTAGAACGATTTGAAATTTTTTTTCTCGCCGAAAAATTTAGGCACCTACCCCCGTTGAGGAGTTATGATTTTTTATACTTTCGGGGAAAAATTTCTCAAGCAAAATTTTTGCAAGCATACTACTGCCTGAAGCTACTGATATTTTGCATTATATGCACTATTCTATGATCATTGCTGACTATGGCTACTATCTAACATATGATTACTACTTTCAATAGTTACTACCATCTACGACGAATGTTACCTAGGACGAATGTTAGCTAGGATTAATACTACCTACGCTCGATGCTGCTCAGGATTCCTACAACCTACGTTCACTAGTACCTATAATTACCTACTACTTGGTAGTTCCACTTCCAATTTCACCCATTGTTAAGTCACCGCCCGTTCCACTTACAAGCACTATGAAACTAGGAAGGTTCCCATGCAATTATCGTGGTTGTATTTATAGAGGGCTCGGTGTATTTAATTCCGAGGGACTAATCCATAGCCGCCTAAATACGTGAGCTGCATTACCGTATAAGAATCCCAGTCGACGGTGTCGTCCACAATAAACTCACTAAAATCAGAAAGGTCTTTGCCCCCGTCCGCTCACCGTGCGCCGTAACAAGATCATTTGTAAATAAATCGTACAACAGGCATCCGACGTGAGTTGGCACCATCATGCAATATCCCTCCACCGACCCAACATTCTTCAGCGATCAAGACTCCCGCGAGAAAAGAAACAAGCATTGCTCAAACACGTTGATTGCGAACACTCCGTGTAAAGAGAATTATTGAACCACAAAACCGACTGGTACACGATGAAACCAGGCGGATCGGTATGCACCTCTTATTGCTATATATCGTGATCAAAGTATTTGGTTATTGTTTCGTTCCGTGAATCGAGCTATTATGCAAAAATGAGAAACATGGTATCGTTTCTAACTAATCGGAATTTATTTTTGCGATCAACGTCGGGGAACAACGATGATATTGTTCGAAACGACCACCTTTCGTATCGATGAATGCGAACGACGAAACCAATTGGCTATTGCGGCGCGCACGGTCTTCGCAGTTATTTCCGAAGCTGCTTTTTTTAGGGTGCTCTCGTCAGTCTATCCGAGTGTCTATTAGAGGTATCGCAGACTGCATAGCAATTTATAGTCGTTCGTAAGTGGGTTAAAATCCGATGGAAGACCACTAAGTGTTTTGCGGAGTTCTATCGAGGTTTAATGGGTCTTTGTTTCTGGAGGAAGGCGTTAAAAAATGGGTTCAAAGGCTACCAAAAATAATACAATTCCATTGAAACGTATCAATCTGTTAGGAAATCAAGAACTGTCTGTCTGAATACTAGGTTGAAACAAAACGGTGCATCGTCATGCATAAGTCGCATGCGATGTGCATCTAATGGAACTACGTTCAATAATTCATGCACAATCGACTACTCAAGGAACTGACGTGAAATTATTGAACATTGCGTACTAATAGTTTTGCTGAATCGGTTATACTATTACGCAATATACTATAATAGATCTAGGCGAATAGATCCAAGTGTAAGTCGATTTGGGCTCAAAATGTGTGCCCACATCTTGTGGCTGGGCCGGTAGACGAGGAAATCGTGCTCGTCGAATGAAACATGCACAAAAGCAAAAGACGTTCGCGACCCAGGTGCAGTGTAGCTTTTACTGTAGCCTGTGACAGATCCGACGAACGCGTTTTTCTCTTAGTCAGTCTCGTTCCCGAACGATGAGCGCTTTGGCATCGCGTGGCACAAGTCCAACCCGTTGGCCCCTCTCGGATCCACCAGACGCCACTTGCCAGACATAGCACAACCGGGTCCCTGAGACGTTTTCTCATTCGTCTAACGCTGATAATACCGAGGAACTATCCGAGAAATGGAAAACGATTGCGTTCCGTCAAACCGCGACGGAAATAGACGCGCGATCCTAGCCCAGAAAAGATTCCTTTGGCGCGACGTTTCAAGCAGGTTCCACCGACGATAAGCGAAAATCTTATCTGTCGGTTGTCTGCTCGAGTATATCATGAAATTAGGATGCTTGAATATTCGAACAGCGATGTTCAAACGGTGAAATATTCGAATTTTCTGCAAAACCAGTGGTTGTAGTAGGCTTGGGACGTTTAAGAAGCATGCTTCCTGTTCTCAGGTGGTGTTGCCTCTAAGCGATTACCTGAACCGTTAAACAGGAAACCCTCTGACGATGTGTTGGTGTTTAACTATTTTTTCCTCTTTCCTATGAATAATTATAAACGAGTAAAATCGTATCGTGGGATCCGTATGAATCGCTCCGAATAAAATAGGAATAAACTAATTTGCAAGTGTACTTAAACGTTTATCGCAAGTTCAATGTACTGGTAATAACTAGTTGAATATTTTAATGTAAAAACTATCAAGAGACTCGAGGTCTTATTCTGTCCCAGTTAAAAATAGTAATTTTGTTCTATTACTTTCACTAGTGACTTCCAATTTTTGTAAAACGTTAATGAATTCATTTTTACAGCGAATATTTTAATGGCTCAGGAAATTCCACTGTGGAATTACTACTTTCACAAATAAATTCATGCACGGATCTTGAGAAGCAAGACCAAGATCGACTGAAATTTATACCTCGTCTATTTAAAATGAAAACGAAATGCAGATTGCAGTAAGATTTTTTTTTACTCATTTTCCTCGCTATTACTTCCTTCGCTGAGAAGTTAGCGGTATACGTATAAGGTTAATGTTTATCACAAGGTCGATGCACTTGCGGTAATGTCGCGGCGCGCGTTTCCAATATGGCGGCGAAAAATTGGCGGCAATACGATCGTTACAGCCCGCATCTTTTTTATTGCACAGAAGCGTCGCTGAGAAAGTCTTGCATTACAGGAAAGAAACATTTGGTCACTGTCGGTAGACATTACTTTTTATCGTGCTATACTTTAAACAAATGCTTAAAAAATTAAAATGTTAAACTTGATGCGCCAAGCTCCTTACCTAGCGGACTGAATAAATCGTGATAAACGATATTTATGAATATTGTTTGTTTACACGTACCCTTCTCATAGTTCTTCTGACCAAGGGAAAAATTGTGATTCACATCTGGAGGGTCGACATTGTCGAACAAGTCGGAGGACAGCTGTCTCTGCAAGCGGATCGTTTCATGAGTCAGTTCTCGAACTTGAATAAGGAGTTCCTGATAATTCGATACCGGAAGCGTCATTGCTGTGCTCTGTGCCCTTCACCGCGCCCTTGGGCCCAGTTTTTACACGAACAGCCATCCGATTTGAATTCTGCGAAAAAAGAAATAGTACTAGTTAGTATTGGGTTCGATCATTGCTCAAGGTACAGTCTCCATTTAGGCTAAATGCATGGAAAATTATTTGAAACGCACGTAGACGCCGGAAGACCATTCTCAGAATCAGAAATTTCGTGAAAAATTATTGATATAAAAATGAATTCTATTATATTGAAAATTTCTAATTGTAGAGAAGTATCTGTATAGATGAAAAATTAATTTTATTATGCCCGTATAATTATTTGTTTCGCGTTGAACGAACAATGGATTGTCTGAATATATTCTACTCGTCTCTGGACGATGATCAATAACTTTGATGCATGAAAAATCGTGTAAATGTAAGTAATATACAGTCACGAGTCGCTTCTATCACGGAGCCACTCAAAACTCGTCTATGCGAGGAACCCTTGCGGTTGAATAACTCCGAATCACGAGTCGTTGCAATCGCAAGACTCTGTTGCGCGTGTGTATGCGCGTGTACGCTTAAGTGTAGCACTTGTTCGGGCTTAAAAGAGCTTTTGTCGACGGGGAGGAAATGCAGCAATCCCTTCCCTTCCCGTCGGCACTTGCACAGCACGTGAAAAGCGTGCACGCGAACAAAGGGAACCCCAAAGTTGCATTCGCGTCAACTGGTTTGTTTGTGCGTCGTCCAACGCATGGCAACCATAATAGGTGATACGTCGTCTTCTTTTCGACCAGTTTTTTGGTATGTCATTGGAACGGGTCGAATGCCGAGCTGGTTCTCGCAAATCAGAAATGGTAAAATATCTAACATTTATTTTTTTTTTTACTTAGTACTTGTTTGAAGTTTTTTTATTATTTTCATGGAGTATGATCATTGGATTGGTGAAACTTTCCCGATGAAAATAAGTCCAAACACGAACTTATTCGAACTATTTTCATTTTGAATTCTTTTCATTTTTTGTGTAAATGGATCGAGTAACTTAATAATAAAAATAGTCCGAATATAGTCGTGTTTGGACTTGTTTTCAACCACGCAAATCAGTCGATAATATTCTCATAAAAAACAACAAATATGAGGGCAATTCCATTTATGGCAAGCGAGAGATATTGTAGAGACCCGACTTCTAACATGTTAGTCAAGCTGTACATGCTCGTATGACCACCAGATTACCGATTTTCTTAACCCTCGCGCGAAATTAGCAAATCAACCCTCTTTAATGCATTATTTACCATGGGGTGACCCAACACCATGGCTGTTGGACTTTCGTTGATTGAATTGGGTGACGCCATTGCTGTGGCCTTTCGTTGCTAACAATCCCTGTCGCGTGTCACAAAATTATAAAAGGTGTTGGGAAATTTGAATAATCATCAGAAGCAACCGGAATATTTTACGAACACTGTAAAATTGCAATATCAATAAAAAAAACTCTCCCTAGGTAAAATGCACGAACTTTGATTTGGACGTCTGGTCGGCTCTGGCGCATTAGATTTCAATTACTTCGTTCTTAATGTGAAAAGTTTGAGTTGTAGGCGAACTCGTGGAGGGAACACAGTTCACAGAAAATAATATCGCGGAATGGTGGCGTAGCGGGTCTGCCAGAGCGCGTCTGTCTCGCTTCGTGGTCCATGGCTGGAACCAGTCTAGATTGCAACAAGAAATGGGTAGAAACTTGACTGAATGCGTCTCTTAAAAAAAAGAAACCATTTCTACCCCTTTAGAAGAAACAAATCAATGCAGATCCCTGCATTCGCACTTCATTAATATAGCAATAATAAAATGAGCTCAGAAGTTTCATTAAAGCCTTTAACCATTCTCGAATCAAACGGTAACGCGTAGAAGGGTTATGACCTCTTTAAGATCCTTGTTTTGTATGGTTAAACTTTTGTCGATATTTGGAAATATACTGAAATTATTATTGCATTTATACATCATTTTTATCGGTCTACTTGGCTGACACGTCGCCAATAAGTTGAGGACGCAGCTATGCAACTATGCAATGTTCAGCTTCTTACAGCGAAACCATTTCAGTGCTAACGTAATGGAATCATGTAAGGGTTCTTCATAATCACATATAAATGCAAATTATTTATACTATACATTCATGAAAAAATGCTGCAAATAAAATATTAATAAATTCATAACATAATTAATTAAAAGGTAAGCTATACAAAATTATTGTTAATATTAAATTTAGTGTCGTGAACAATTTGTTTTCGCTTGTGCCAAGACTGAAGAAAGTAGTCTTTGTTCCCTGTATCCTAAGCTTTATATGAAACTAAAAAAATATTATGTTTAACTGCTAGCTTAGTTATTAGACAATGCGTTACGACTCCAAAATCATTATAGTTTCTCGAAAGCTAGGCCTGACCAGGTCACGCATGCAAAGTGCGTGCGTAAGAGGAGTTAGGTACCCGAAGACTCCATTTTACAAACGTATAATGCTAAAACCGCGCGCTAAAAATATATTTCAGACGTCGTTGTCCCCTTTACTGTATTACGTGGAATTTATTAATGCGGTCAACACTCCATCATACAGACATTACACGTCAATTACATGTCGTTAATAAGCTTTCGCTCCTCGAAGACCTCAAAACGTATAAATTTCCTCCAAATTAAGGACACTTGTGTCTCATTACACAGATCTTGGCAAATATTTGTATCTTTTAAATCCAAAGACTGAAACATAATGATCTACCATGTACATTTTCACTCCGTATATCAATTTAACAAATTTTTTATTTGTTATATCTCTATCGTGCACTGTACGATCGTTAGTCTAGATACTATGTTTTGTTTCAAAGAAAGATGCACTGGCCACGTCGAGTTATTAAAAGCCAGGCTAGGTAAATTTGGAGGTGAGTGTTCCACGAATCCGTTTTTGTTGATTAGCTCATTGTACCTTACTCTATGGGACTGACTACTGCAGATTATGATTTCTGGCAGATGTAACCGCTTTTGTGTACCGGGAATTCAATCGAGGGTGCAACAATGCCACGGTTTCGGAGCCAGGTATCTTTCAGTTTTCCCTTAATTTATTTAATCTATTTTACCCGATCGCATTGGAGTAAAATCATTGAAATGCATTGCAAATTGCTAGAAAATTGTGTTCCATTGCGTGAACAAAAATTCGACACAATTTGACAGAGTCACTCGTGTGGCAAGACGTCTTAATTTGTTGCGAAAGTTATCCATAACGAAGCAGGTCCCGATTTATAATTGGCATCTTTCGAGTAAACCACATAATCAGGAAACATTAATTATGTGCCCATGAAGCTAATTCTTTGAGAGACGCGAGTAATTAAATGTTCGAAAATTGTGCACCACCGTGTAATAAATTTTATAAGCGTTCAATATAATCCACTTATAAATATAATCGCTTGAGTATTATTTTAATACATTTGCCAAGTAATATAAAATTGACTAAGGGTATCGATGCAGCAATTAACAAAATTCAACGGCAAAAATAATTAGAGGATCACCTGTGAATACATCGTAATCTACTTTTACTATACGGTATAAATATCCAATAAAATTCCAACGATTTTAATCTTGAATTTCCAATCCTACCAAACAGCATGTATGGCATATTAATTTGGTTCATTCAAGCTAAGCTCCAGATAGTAATAATTAATGGAAAAATTTAGGAATATGAACAATACCAATTTTCTAGAAGATACTAATTTTATATTATAATTGCCAATTAAGAAGTGAATATACAGTACTTCTTCATTCAGAATTTCCTGCAATTATTTGGGGCAGTATATTTGAATTAATTTGTCACGCAATATTTCGAAATTATACGAGGCATATCGTAATAGGCTTCTTCGAAGTTGTGGCAACTTATCCGAGCTAACAAAAATGTTTTAATAAATGCATTATACATTATAACGATATACAAAAAAAATATTGACTCGACCCACATTCGAAATAACTGATACATCTGTGGACCAATTTATTTTCATACGCATATTTATTAAGACCCTTCTTCCCCTTTTATGTGCCCCATTAACCGGTCAATTTCGTGTCCATAACTCCGAGATTTCCCATAGAGCACCAAAGGAACGTCACCCGCCAGAATCGTAAACGAAGAGTGTATTACAAAACAGTACACGCTATTATTATCCACTCGATACTTTCGACCAATAACAATGCTTTTTATCGGACGATTTCTCTTACAAATGCACGGTAAAACAAACGATGTTGATATTTGGACAACGATCGTCTTAGAACCAAGCAAGTTTACCAGGAACACGAAGATTAGAACCAGTTACCTTTCAGACATCGGCCACGAGGACTGTACGGGATCACCACGTCGCGAAGTATATCCTAAATATTCACCAAGAGACCGTACTTCCCTCCGCACATAACGTTCAACGATTAAAACGCACACTTCGTGTCATAACGGAAGAAATAAGAGAGTCAATAACAATACGACATCAATGAACACACACGGACAGTGAAAGGTGAACGCAAGAAGAACCTTCTCCTCCCGCTGCCGTTCGAAAACTCATGGTGCACGCTCGACGCGGCCACCACGACGCTTCCCCCCCTCCCCAAAACCTTATCCCCACTCCTACGATGGAAGTTAATCGTGGCGGAGAAACCCCTCGTGTCGTTTCTAACTATACAGGGTGGGGTGTAATTCACGTTAGAATCGAGAAGAGGACGAGACACCTGAGAAGTAGCACATGTATCAAATCAATTTGCTGATTTCCAAAATTTTGAAAATTAATAACAAACCCCTTAAAGAGACAAATAATGTTGGGCACAACATTTTCGTTACGTTTAATGTCAATTTATTGTGATTTTAACGAATACAAACACGCGTTAAAATTAACTTAATGTAATTTTAAAGAAAGCCCAAATTGATTACGTGTAATTTCGAAAAATAGAACATTTCGCGACTCTCTATCGAGCACCGTCGGATGGCAATTTGTTTAAACCGTTTCCCACGACCGTTTCCCACGACACAAGCATGCCTTCAATTTTGGTCCTCTCATCATTTTAAATATATTAATCTGCCGGAGAAA